AAACTGTCCCAGACTCCTCCATCTGTCCAGTTTCCACTTATGCTTTGATATCTACCTCAGGTTCCATCTCTATCATGTGGTCTTTTGAAATAATTTTAGCTTACAGAGACTAATCCCATCTCTAGATTCTGGGGTTTCTTTTTTGTTGTTGTTGTTGCTGTTGTTTTGGTAGTAGTGAGGTTTGAACTTGGGGCCTTACACTTACTAGACAGGTGCTCTATCACTTGAGTCATTCCCAGCCTGAAATGCTTGCAATATTTATAAACAACAGAAAGTAATACTATTACGTATTTTATTGTTCTTCATGGTTTCATTATGTAGTGTTTCATCCCCCAAGTTTTTTAAAGAAAAATATCACATCTTCTAAAGAAGACAAGAGAGGTACCTGTTTCATAGTGAACAATAAACAAGTATCAGATAATGGATTAATTAGATGCATCCTATACCTTTGAACAATAGCTCTTTACATACATATTAATAGGACTCTTGGTTACCCATGATAGCATCCCAAATCAAACTGACTTAATTTAAAAGGGAATATTTTGTTTCACCTAAAAGAAATTGTAGGTATAATTTGACCTCAGGCAAAGATGGATCTACACACTCAAATAATATTACTAAGAATCAATCTCTATCTGTCTATCCATTCTGATCCTGGATTAGATCTCAGGAATTCTGTTGACCATGAATGGCACAGACAGCAACTCTAGGCTTTCATCTTACTGCCTACCAACTCAATGGTAAGAAAAATTTAAACATTAGATTGAAATATTTAATACTGCCATGTATGTGGGTCAAAGTGGTTGAATAATGGCAATTTTATATTTTTGAACCTAATAATTCCAGAAAAGTTTTCAAAGCTAAAGTACATTGGATCAGTCTAGATTTAATAACCATTATTAAACTATTCGATGTGTGGGCTGTTAGAGTGGTTCAAGCGGCATAGTGCCCGCCTAGCAAGTGTGAGGCCCTGAGTTCAAACCCCAGTACTACAAACATACACAACACAAACTATTCAATGTGGCCACTGGAATACAGTGCTGTCATTGATCAAGCCTGAGTTATATGCCCACTCACAGAACCTTGGGGGCAAAATTGACAGAAGACAGATTTCAAAATAGAAATTTAAGGTGCTATCATCAGATAAGGGAAAATAACAACTGAGCCAATTAAACACCAGGTGCCCTTTATGTGTATGAGGGACACCAGAGGTGGAGATTTACCATGACAGTGATGAAGCATGAATGTCAGGGAACCTCACTTGCATAGGCTCCTTCAAAGACCTTTAATTTTGTATTTAAATTTTTGAACTCTTGTTCTTTAAAAAAATGGGGGGACACCTAAATTGCAAAAGCATTGAGACCAACAAAACCTAGATCTGCCCTATTTTAAAAAGCTCAAAAACACTTATTAAATTTGTAAATAAATGTCTCCAACATATTCCACTCTCCTGATTTTACTGGAAATAAACCATTTATTATATAGTTTATTCATGAAATTCTTCCCAATAACTTAGCCTCTTATCTTCTGACGTAACAGAAAGCAACTTTTTTTTTCCCTTTATTCATATGTGCATACAATGATTGGGTCATTACTTCCCCTTCCCCCCAAGCCCTTCTTTTTCCCCCACCCCCTCTCTCTCACTCCCACCCCCTCGCTTAACAGAAAGCAACTTGATTATCCCCTTCAAATCTTTCCAGGTTCTGGAACACAGCATCTGACTGTATTTTTCTTTGCCTCTGTTACAGAACCACTGGGACCTTTCCATTTTTTCACCTCCGTGAACAGTACTTCCAGATGAAACCTGCCTCCCAGTATCTCCTTTCATTAAGGGTCAGACCAGTTTGAGGTATTCATCTCTGGATCCTAATGTAGTTCTTTACAGCACCAATTTGAAGAAACACACTAGTTGCTCATATTCACTCTAAATTGATATTCTTTGGTATTCCTCTTTTTAAAATTCCAAATCAAAATTAATTCTCTTAAACTACTGTTAAAAAAAGCCATGAAATATAAAGTGTATCTTATATTGGGATGACTTTAGGATGTAACCCTTGTCAAAGGTATATTCCTCTAGGAAACTTATTATCAGAGATGTGCACAGTTGGGTTTGGGCAATCAGAAAATGAGTCCTTATTATTGAGATTTCTAACTTTACTTTACCCTTCTACTTGGCAGTCAGACAGCCCCAGGAATGTAAATTCATGCCGTTTTGAGTGTGGGGGAAGGTGAGGGAACTAAGCCTGCCTGCTGCTATTCTGATTACAGCATTTGTCGCTGGGAGAGACAGCTCCAGAATTGATGCTATTTTTCTCCCCTCTCAGGAAAATGGCTTGGACTGTGGATCAGAGAGGGCCAAGGGCACCTGCAAATAACAATTTCTGCTTAATCTCCCAGCAGGTGTCCAAGTCTGTAGTCCTTCAGACATGGCATTGCATTTGACCCATTTATTCTCATTTTCTCCTCTTTCCCACCTTCTGTAAGAAATATGGCATAGACACAGGGCAGTGGAATTGTGTTACCTTTTTTTTTTCTTTTAATTTGTTGAAATTATCTCTAGGCAGAAGAAGTGGAGGGGGGATAAAAACCAGATGGCTGTCGCTGGAGTAGAAACTTTCTACTGAGGTGCTTTGAGATGATTAAATCTGATGGAAGTAGCTATTTTCTTACAGAGAAAGTAGATGAAGTGACAGAATAGTGGCAAGACTTCCAGCAGTCTGAGCGTTAGTGCCCTGTTCTGTCTATCCTACCTGCACATACCAGTAAAAGCCGCTTTTCTTTTTGTTCTCCAAAGCCCCATCAATCACTGGCTGTAGCAGATTCTCTGGAAGGTGGTAGTGGCAGTATGTGTGTGTGGGGGGGGAGAGGGGTAAGGAAATAAGTTAATGATAATGAATAGGGTTTATATTTATAAATGAGTATCATCCATTTCTCTTTGAAGCCCCCAGCTCCTCTATTGCTTTCTTCCTCACCATATCCATATCCTCTTCACTCACCAAATACCAGGCATCTATCCTTCAGCCCCTCCTCCCTAGACACATGAAGTTGAGAGTAAATTGAGACTGAATAAATTGAGAACTGGCTAAGGTTAACTTCTAATCTTATATTTGGGAAGAGTCAGCCAACAGGGAAGCCCTTTCACACTGTTCTCTGAGCCACTTAAACACCTAGAGGGTAGCAGCACACAGAGGGGTAGGAGCAACTGTTGCCTCCCTCCCATAGTCTCTGATAGAGAAAACTGACTCTCAGTCTTCTGTGAAGTAATATTCAAATGCAGCTGAATATTAACTCAGATATCTACATTAGGTTTTGGTTTTCCTCCCCAACCAAATATATGATGTCTTTTCCAGCTCTACACCAGTCTCTGACACCAATAAGGCATGTTGCAATTCAATTGTCTGTCACTAACTTCCTGAAGTTAGCATCAGACTCCAGGTTTAAGGGCTCAGTCACAGAAGATTGCCATCTTCAGAGGCCAGTTGAAAGTTTGGGTCTCTAGGTTACCAAATCTTCAGTTCAATTTGGCTACAAACTCAGGGATTCTCACATACCTCACTTGTGGCCTTGAAAATTCACTAGAATGACTTGCAGAATTCAGGGAAGCATTTTAGTTACTATTACTAGTTTACTAAAAATGATACAAACCAGAAACAATCAAATAGAAGAGTTTCACAGGACAGAGTATGGGGTTGAAGACCAAGTTTTCATGTCCTTGCTGGGTATGCCATCCTCGCAGGACCTATATGTCTTCCCCAACCCAGAAGCTCCCCAAATTCCAGCCTCATTTAGAGTTGTGTGTGTGTGTGTGTGTGTGTGTGTGTGTGTGTGTGTGTAATGAGGCATTCTTTATATAGACAAGATTGAGTAAATAGTTGTTCATTGGTGACTAACTCAATTACTTAGCCTTTCTCCTTCCCTGGATGTTGGGGAGTGGGACTGAAAGTTCCAAACTTCTAATTAAAGATTGGTCTTAAAAAAAAAAAGATTGGTCTTTCTGGCTACAAGATCCTTCTGTCAGACTCAGGTAATTTCCAAAGGTTTTAGGAGCTCTGTGTCAGGGACAAGGGAAATGCCAAATATGTCTCTTGTCATACCATACCTTCACTATAAAAAAGAATTATAGAGCCCCTGCCCTACCTTGATTTGTTAGCCTTCCTGGCTATCTCTAGCTCTCCCTTCTTCTGTATTATTCACATCCCAGTTAAGAGATGGATGGATTTGTTCTTCATAGGCTATTCAGCACATAACTGGTTTTCCTGGGGCAGACCCCTTTATCTCCCCCCTCCAAACAAATCATTCAAGGCAACAAGCATTCTTACTGAATCAGAGTTGAATCCCCACACCACCACCTCTTCCTCTCAGAAGGATCTTAGGAAGCTAGAAGCAAGGATGAATCTAAGGGGCTGAAGACCTCACCCCCAACCCCACCCCCTCTCATGCAAGCACCTATGCACCTCATCCCAAGGCCACTGTGATTGGCCAAGTTACTGATGTTCCATAAAGAAGAGTCACTTTGAGTGTCCAAGGTGGCCTGTTGCCTGTTATTTCTTCAAGTCCCTATTGGCAAACTCTTCCGGCTGGGTCCTAAGACTGCAGCACAAGACCAAGGGATGAGGTATAATTTGGGTAAATACATTTGTGTATTCTCCTGTCTGTCCCCCTCCCCTCCCCGCCCCCCCCCCAATGAATAAAGACAAAACAAAAGCAACTCAGGAAAACAAGGCTTTCCTTTGATGTAATCAAGAGATCTTTCTTTTGAAGCACAAACCTCGTTCCTTCTTGTGGCCCCAGACGGTCCCAAGACTGCCCTCCGATGAGTCTCAGATGGTGAGGGCCTCAAGACCACATTGGTTTATTTGAAATCCATGTTTAGGTCCCAGCATGTGGCAATGTGCTGCACTCTGATGACACTTTTCGTTTCTAATAATAGAGCAGATGAAGTAATATTGCAATTGATGTTCCCGGGAATTTGATTGGATAAGTGCATAAACTGTGGAGGGGGAAGGAGGTTGTATGGACGGATCACATTAGTATTCCTGTCCTATCAATGTGCGGGGCCGCGACCAACGTCAGCCAGACCGATTCCCTGCGTCTGCCAGTCCCGCCACGGATTCATTTGGGATCCTTTAACAGAAAAGCGCATAAGGACTAGGGATCAAGACAGCCTATTAGGGCCAATTGCCTGCTGCGGGGACGGCCACCCCTTTCAGGCTTGGTGACCGTGGAGGGAGGGGAAGACGAACTGAGCATCGCTGCGGGAAGACACTGAAGCAAGAGCGACACCCGGTCCCGCCCCCCACCTTGCAGCGCAGGCTTTGAAAGCTGCTCCCCCATCTGAATGGAAACTCGGAACCGCCGGGCAGCGCGTTCCTTCTCGCTCAGCCTTGCAATCCATGCGGAGAGGAAAGCGGTACGAGCCCGCGCCAGCGCCCAGCTCCCGGGACAGGGCCGGCAATGCTGCTGAGCAGAACTTGATCGCGCTCCTTCCTCGCTGCTAGTGGAAGCGATGCTGCACGGCACAGCCAGCGCTTCCCCGGCTCTCCTTCAGGCTGAAGGTTACCCACCCGCGCAGCCAGCCCCAACCTTGTGAGCCGCGCGCCTCGGGTCCCGGCTCCGGCTGCTTGGCGGCGGCGTGCAGGGCAACCACCGGGCCGCCCGCGCCGGGGCGCACTGCACCAGCGGCTTCGGCTTGGTGGATGTGTATGCATGAGTTCTGCACCGAATGGGCGCAAAAAGCGCCCCAGCCGGTCCACCCGCTCCTCGATCTTCCAGATCAGCAAGCCCCCGCTGCAGAGCGGGGATTGGGAGCGCAGGGGCAGCGGCTCCGAAGGCGCCCACAAAACCCAACGAACCCTGGACGACTGCAAGATGGTGGGTGAAACCTGCGCCTTTTTTTTTTTTTCTTTTAAGTGGGTGTGGGGGGGGAAGTCGTGTGTGTTAATCGTTTGCTTGAGTGCCAGCCACTCCCCACCCTCAGCTTCTCCAAGCCGATCACGTGCTCATGTACTATTTTTACAACAGCACTCCCCCAGATTCGGGGTGACACCCAAGTCGTAATGGTCCTGCGGAGACAAGTGCCACGGCCTGGATCTTGGGAGTCAGAGGCTATAGGTTGTGTCTCTAGCCCCTAGAAGAATGGTGGATGCGAAAGATAGGTTGAACTGGCTTTCTCACCAGAGAGGGAGGGTTTGTGGGGAGGCAGCTTTGTGGTGAAACAGTAGAAAACAAACCCAAACACAGTGCACGGGGCGTTGCAGAGAGGACTGAGGTTCCAGCGCAGAGGCCATCCTTGCCTTCGGGCTCCAGAGCCGGAGGGTTTCAGTGACCCTGCAGGAGATGATAGGTTTGCCCATTTCACCTTACTTGTGGTCTTTTTCCCTGGTGTCATATCAATCTATATACTAGCGGTAGCAGATGGGGGCATCTATGCGGGTGCCCCAGCCTCACTGGAGTGGCATGATAGCTCTCCAAAGACGCCCTTGCTCTTCAGAAACGGAGTCTGACGGGTGGGAGCAAGTAGGTCTGCAAACGGAGCTTCCATGGTCAGGGTCACAGATGGAAAACAAACATTTGCTTCGGACAAAGAGACTTGCCATCTTATGCCTTAAGCGTTAAACAACTCATAGGTTCCTTAGCTGGAGATTGAGGAGCTGGCTCAAAGATCAGTGAAATCCCCTGTTACACTGACATAGGAAACTTTTCTGATGACAAGTGTTTGGTGAAAGAAACTGGCTTCTTTTTCAGCTTGTCCAAGAGTTCAACACGCAAGTGGCCCTGTACCGAGAGTTGGTCATTTCTATTGGGGATGTCTCGGTCAGCTGCCCCTCACTCCGGGCGGAAATGCACAAGACAAGAACCAAAGGTTGTGAAATGGCCCGTCAGGCACACCAAAAACTGGCTGCCATCTCAGGGTAGGAGATTCGGCGTTTTTTGGTAACTTGTATATATGATGTATGGATGCAGACAGGATGCTATAGTGGGCTAGGCCTCAGAGGCAATCTCTGCAAATTTGAGATTTTTAACTAATCACTTTGAGGTTAGAAATCTCTACAGAGCTATAAACAAACTATAGGTGAAGCCATAATCTGAAAGCTATGTTATTCTTGTGTGTGTATACATGTATACATACATGCATACATGCACGCATATGTATGTGGGAATGTTTGAATATCGAACTAAAGTTTTCTCATTATGCCTCAGAATTATTCTGTCATTTGTGACCAAACAAAAGGCTGTGGTTTAGAGAGGAAAATCTTTGCTAAAACCCAGATTTACTAAACTATTTATACCATGAGATAAATTCCTGGGATGGTGCTTAAAATAAAATCCCTAAAATAAAATCTTGGTTATAATTTCTTTGGTGTTATGAAAGGGAAGTTTTAACATAAGTAAAGTTTTTAAACATTGGAGAAATTCATAAATCTAAGTAAACCATTAACTGGTTTTATCCTCCCAATTTTTGTGGATTCTTTAGTCTATGTAGAGTGAGTGAAAACTTGGGTCCAGGGACAACATTTACTCCTTGATCTCAGTATTGGGAGAAAAGGTAGCCTGGATTTGTTAACAGTTGCTATTGCCAAGCTATGGACTTACAGTGAGGCATCATATGAGTTCTTGTATAAATATCTTAATTTAAGTGCTATCTTTATTTGTTCTTCCAGGTGAATAGGCTTTATCATAATAGAAGAATTAGTCAGACTCACCTGATAATGTTGCTGATCGATCACTTGTAGGAAATATATCTAATTTCCCTTTTTGCCATCTTTAATGCCAATAATATGTATAGTCTTTATTACTAGTAATATAAAGATTAGAAAACCATATGTTGCCTCTGTAAACTAGTTTACATTAGACAATGGACATTTTATATTATGAAAAAAATCCATCTTCTTAATTTCCTTGAAGTGGGGGATAGATAAACAAGACATGTTATAAACATATTTTATTTAATAGTAATACTGAGAAGATTTATCCTGTTCTGTTATACGGTAAGTAAAGGGGAAGTAACTCCAGACAAGTAAAGAAAAAACAATGAGAAACATGAAGGAGATTAAAAAGTGTAGGAAAACAATGACTAAGAAGTAAAGCAGGTTAGGTCAGGGAAATCGATACTCAGGGTTAAGGGGATAACACCTCTGTAAACTTTGTGTCCAAGAATTAGGCTGGGTGGTATCCAGGATCCCTTTATGTTGAAACTCAAAATGAGGACATGTTATAATCAGATGTGGGCACAAGAAACAAGCAAGTTCAGTTCAATTTATTTCGCTATACACATGAAATTCAGCTCTAAAGGTTTGCGAAAGAATCTGAAATTATTTCCTAAAGCTGAGTTTGGGAGAGGTGGATTGTATTCACTCCGGGCTTTATAGTCCTTTGCTACTTACTTACCTACTACCTGAGGAGTAATGTTAATGGAGGCAATTTTAGAAGAATTTAGTAGGAAAAATATGGTGTTCTTAAACCCTTGCAAAGGTAAAACTAGCTCCATAAAATGGTCTAGGACAGAATTTAACACATTTTCCTCTTTAAAATAATTAAATGCAATTTAATGTTTTTTTAATAAAAAATGACAGCAATATAATTGAAGGAAATCCCTTTAGTTCCTAACCATCTGGGCCCCATTAATGAAGGATGTGACTCCCTTTGGTGGAATTCTGTTTCTGATATGGCTTGTTATGTGGCTTTTCATTTCAAGCTTGATGTGAAGACTGTAGGGAGTCTGTAAGACTCACTTCACAGTTTACGGGGTGAGAAAAGCAAAGGTTCTTGGGGAAAGCAGAGAGAAAGACTGGATTTCTTGAGTGCCCACTACTTGGTATCACAAACTGTGTAATTCATTCAATTAGTCATCTTAAGAGGAATTATTACCTTTATTCTACAAATAAGTCTTATAAAGATTGAGGAACTTGCCCAAAGACCCAGTTAAGGAAGTGTCACGAATTTGATTCAACCCAACATTTTCCTCCTTCTGAAACTCAGACCCTTTTCTATATACAATGCTGCCATCCAAAAGGGAGTTATATAAAAAGGGTCAAAGTACTAATAATGCTAAAGTATGGATGAACTTTAAAAAGAGTAAGCTAACTGAAAGAAATCACAGATCATCATATATGATTCCATTTTTATCAAATGCTCAAAAAAGGCAAGTGTATAGGGGCAGGAAGTAGATTAGTGATTGCCTGGGACTGATGGGAGCATTCAGTGACTGCGATGGGCTCACGAATTCTTTTTGGTGTGATGGAAATGTTTCCAAATTGAACTGTGGTGATGGTTGTAGAACTCTGTGGTAAAATCATTTAGTTTCCCACTAAAAATGAAATAATTCTATGGTACACAAAGGATACCTTAGTGAATGTTTTTTTTATCACCATCACACTTATTAACACTTGATCTTTTGTTGATTTTATTCTTTACTACAGATATAACTTGTGATGAAGGGGTTTGAGTTGTAGGGAGGAAAGAAAAATAAAACTTGGCTTTCCATGCATTCATCAAGATGCCTGCCTACAGCTGTCATCTAAGCACCAATGCTTTGTTCTTTGTACTTGAGGAGGAAGTGAATTCACTCATTTCTTACCAATACAGACCACCCCTTTCTTGTCTACCAGCTGAATTTGGGGCCAAAGGAGAGAGACCGGATTAAATGTAGACAGTATAAAAAGAAAATGAGACAAAACAGAAAGAAAAGAGTGAGTCATAATAAAGTCACAAACACTACATCCCTTTTATCCCTGACCAGTTGAAACCCTCCAGGAATGGTAGTGACTACAGAGGAAAAAACCCAACCTGTGTTTCTCATTGACTGGCCCTGAGTAAGAAAGTCATCTTCACCAACATCATCAAACACTTGCTCAACTTGTGTTTGGATCAGTGGCTATTCCCACACAGCCTTTGCTTTCAACGCATCAAGCATCTTCTGTACAAATCCAGCCAGGTGAATTGGAAGTCTCCTCCGACTGGAGTGATACACCAACTATTATATCTTTACAACTTGGATTCTCTCCTGGATATTAAAGCTGGGAGAGGGCTTAAAGATCACTTGTGAGGGTGGTCCCCAAACTTTTAAACAGCAAATCCTCCCTTCCCAAAGTGATTTCTAAGAGTCCCTACAGCGTTGTGGCAATTTATATTTGAGACTCTGAGATTCAGAAGATTAAAGTGACTTTAGAGACAAGTTGGCAGATTATAGGTGATGATTTTGGAGTTAGACAAATCTGGCATGAACACCATCTTTAGGACCTCAATGGACTTACTTAATGCTCTGAATCTCGGTTTCTCCGTCTATAAACTAGTTTCCATGCTTGTTCATGCAGCAGTTGAGAGGACGGCATGAGCTCAGTATGTAAAGCAGGGACCACATGCCCAGCCAATCAATTCATTGGCACTTTGAGGCTGCTCTGAGACTGGAACCTGTGTTGACTCTCTCCCCTGTCTATTCCATCCACCACAACACCTCATAAGAAGGAAGAGGAGAGCACAGCACACAGGGAGCAGTGACCCAGAGAAGCCAACATTCTCCAGCAAACGCTGGTGTCTGATGCTATGATGGTGGGCTGGAGGTTGAGACTGTCTTTTCCATGCTGCTTCTGTGGTTTCAGTGTTGGCCTGGATCTTCCTCGCACTGAAACTTTCATGGCTGCCTAAGAGTTGAAGCACAGAAGGGAATTAACCAAATCTTAAAAACAAGTTTTAAGTATAATATGAGAGGCAAGATAGTGTGGTAGGAAAGAGCACTGACTCTATATCAGATTAGGTCTGGATAAAATCCTGGCTTTACTTTACCACTACTAAGGGCATGTGTGTGAATCAATACGCAGATTGCTTCACTGAGCAGCAAGTAGTAGTCTGCTACAATGGCTAAGTGCTTAGACTTTGAGGCCAAATTGTCAGTGCTACTACTCACAAGTAGTGTGACCTTGGGCGAAGGTGTTATCTCTTTCTGCCCTCCGTTTCTTAACCAGCAAAATGAGGCTAATAAATAATGGGACCAAATATATGTCATTGTAAGGATCAAGTACTTAGAAGGCAGCCTCTTCTATAGTAAGTACTATTTGGTTTTTTTTTTTTTGAGACAGGATCTTGCTATGTAGTCCAGGCTGGCCTCAAACTCAAGATCCTCCACCTCCCAAGTGCTAGAATTACAAGCATGTACCACCATGCCCGGCCAGTGCTATTATTAGTGTTTGTGTAATTAATAAAACATTTAAATTCAGATTATCCAGACACATTTACATAAAATTTTTTATTAATCCATCAAATAAATATTTGTTTACTTTTGTTTCTTACATTATGTTCTGAGGAATTTTCTATGTTCAAATTACCCATAGAGCTATCAAAGAACTGTTCTTGAATACTTTATAGATAATACAGATATGTAAAGTTTCAAAATAGGTTTACAAATATTTCCTTTGTATAAGTGAGCCTAGATTCTTCATAAATCACATAATACTCAGAAAATCTTTAAGCTAATTCTAGTCTAGGTTGCTGTGTGACACTGGGAAAGTCTGTTAAATTCCTTGCACATCTAAATTAGAGGACTGAATTAAAGAATTGATTGAGTTCTCAGTTTCCTACCTTATCATTGCAGTATTCTACATTAATTGATGGCAAATGACATAGATTTTATTTATACAACTGAGCTATGAAAAAAAATAAGCACCACACAGGGAGTTTGATGATTAAATTCCAAAAATAAATTTTGGGGATCTGAACATATACTCCATTCATAAGAAAGAATCTTAACTTCCTGATGGCTTTGTGAAGAAATGTAATAAATAACCTAGGGATTTATAACTACAGATTTCAGGTTTTTCCCTCCGGCAATGATTTCCTGACCAACTGGACCTGTTTCTCTCCTTTCCTGTCCTCATCCCTTAGTCTGTTATGGTTTTGCTTATTTTCTATTCAATTA